GAAGTGACTGTTGTCAATGACAAAGTCCAGAAGGTGCCGGAGATCTTGTTCACGAAAAATTCGAGGGATCTTGGTTTGACGGCGCCACTTTCCTTTGAACATACGGCGTCGATGATCGGACTTTACTTCGTACACTGACCATTGAGAGGAACTGCGAAGGCCAACCACTTGATCGTATCGATGGAGAAGCACTTGCAGCGCCTGGTGGAATCGTTCCGTAGGAATGGACGTGAAGAAGCCTGACAGGTCTTGCGACACCAGGTGGATGTACTCATCAGGATCTACTTTTGACAGCGCTTCCCACAGCTGCTGGACAAGTTCTTGTACTGGAAGTTGACCTGCAATGTCAGGGAAGGCAGCTTTGGTAAGTTCAAATATGAGTGCACCGAAGACCGTGAGGAAGGGAGCTGCCCATGTGCGAAAGAATGAAATGATGGGTCGAGCTTTCTGCCAGTCCTTGGTCGGCTTTGGAAGGATGCGCGCTGTGGGCAACGGTGCTTGAAGTCGAAGTCCCCATGCATATCGTTGACGTAGGAGAGAAGGTACCGTGGTTACCACTTCAGAGCGAAAGGATGCTGCGGATTCACGGCAAAGCGAGAAGACATCCCCCGAGCAGAATGTCTTCCGCATCAGTATGGCAAACAGGGACGGACAAATCACATGTGCGCGGGAGGGAAAATGATCTGCTGGGATAACAACCCACGAAGACAAAGAAGCCACAGTGCGCTGCAACGATGTCGATGACCAATAAGCCCGATCTTGGAGGTTAGTTCGATGAGTGTCCATTAACTGAGTCAAAACCGGCTGCAGATCTGAAAGGAGACTGGAACCATGTACATGCCAACGGCGAGCAAGTTTGCGAAGTTGCGTGGTGAAACGTTGATGTAATAAGTCGACATCACCGAAATACTGATCCTTCATTGAGGCGGCCATGATTTCAGTGTCAATGTCCGCATTGATGCGAGAAAACTCATCCACCATTACAGCGTGACCATGTGCACGGTGTATATGGTGATCATCGATGTCCAAACAGCGACACGGAAAGGATGTTTCAGGAGTCCATCTGCGCTGCCATGTGCGGTAGTTGTATATCTTGTCGCCCAATGTGGCGCTGCGAGTTTCCACCACCCGGATCTTTGGAATGAAAAGAGAAGGGAACAGATCCCGATGAGAAGCAATCCAGTTTTGTAGCCATGTGCCAAGTAGAGCTTTCCAATTCCGGACATGCAGCGGCGGTAAGAGTAGCTGTGTCAAAGTGGTGGGTAGTTGTAGCCGTCGTTTGCGCAACACCTGGGCGAGGAGTTTCTGCGCCTTGGAGCGGAAGGGCTCGTTGACAAAGACTGCGAGCCGCAATAAGTAGTACAGCTGAGTGGGAGGGAAAGCCGCCGACAGCAGGTCACGCATGACTTGGAACGATGCTCCTGTATTCGATCCCAGCTGATAGAGAATAGAGTAATGGGCCTGAATGTCATCCAGGATGTCAGGTCGTAGTTGCCGTTGGAGATCCGGATGTAGTCGTCGTCGAAAGCGCTTGTGCAAGCTTAGGGAAGTGGGAGACGACAACGAGTGACGTCGAAAATCCACGAGATGTTCCCGGAAGCCCACCTTGCGCAAGATTCTGTGTACCCAGGGCGCATTCAAATGCGGGCGTAGCAAGTATTGCCATTTGCTTTCTTGAACCCACACTGAGGAAACAGGAAGTTTGATTTCCACCGGAACAGCACAGAAGAGCCAGTAAGTATTGGATCTCTTCCAGTAGTGAAGCGCTGGTTCGAAGAAGGCATGCCGTCCACGAAGTAGTTGTAGAAATTTGCGACTGCGTGAGTGTTCACGACGTAGAACATCCTGATCAGTCGCCCCAACATAGTAGGGTGTGTGCCATGGGGAAAGTCGAATGTAGACGCACGGTTGTTGATGATGACCTGGATCGTGTATGAAGTCATAGAGGTCAGGAAATCGCGCCCGCAATGAGCGTAGATGTCGCGTGTCAGCAAAAGTAGAGTGCATGATTTCACACAAGAGAGAAGTCTTGTAGAAGTGAAGGACTTCAAAGAACGGCGGGAAGTAGCCGTGATCTTGTGAAATGAGACGTTGTAAGAAACTAATCAATAAATAGGCAGTGCACCGACATCTGTGAAGCTCATACCTGTTGGCCACGGTGTGCTGAGAGTGTGACATAGCGTGATTCGGAATCTGAAGGGCTATCCGGACCACAACTAAGACTTCGAGGATGAGACCCAGCCACGGCAATTGTGTGATTGATTCGTACTCCTCAGTTGGAATCGACGGTGGTGGTAGTCCAGGAAAACAGTACTGCCAGCACGTAGAGAACATGGTCAACGAGTGTAGAAGGTCGTCCAGCGACTGCCATTGTGCAACATCATCATAGATTCCGCAGCGGCGAAGTTCATCCAACATGGTGAGATACAACCAATGAAATCTACCACAAGGCGGCGACATGAATACAAGCATCACAGACAATCACACAAAAGGCAATGCAAGAACGAGCAAGTACAAGATCAAACTGGTGCAACGCAGAAAATTGACGGACGAGTTTTCACCTGGACTCATCCGTGACATTGTTGCCGCTCCGGGCTCATAAGAGAACGAAGGTCATCATGATGCCTTCTCATCCACAGAGTAGGCGAGCGGTCACGATGAGGTGACTCAATGCCTTCTCAGTGAGTTTGGTAAGATAGCCGGGCTCTAGTCCCCACGAAGCCGCCATCGCCCCGAGAGTGGGTGCGTCGCCTTTCGGCATGCGTTGCCGCGCCTGAAGGAGCTGCGTCGCCATAGAATCTAATGACTTGTTGCCGTTGAGCCGGGACGGGTGATTGGCCCACTTAACCAGCGATGCCAAAGTGGTGGTTGTGGGTGATTGCTTGAGATAAAGGCGAGGTTGGTCACTGGTCCATGTGTAGTACTTGACAACTTCATCCGGCGTGCTGTGCATGGTGAGCAATTGTGACGCCGCCGGTTTGGACGGCGGTGACGACACTCCGTGAAGAGACTGAATGATCCGAGGTTGCACCGCGCTATCAAACGACTTGCCATCCAGGGCCGCTGCGCTGGCTGTAGGAAGGGAGCTGGCAGGTGACGAGGATGGTGTGTGGTTGACCGGTGGCGGTGTAACCAACTCTGCATCATCCTTCTGGTTTGTCATCGTGGGAGAGGTCGAAGCGCGAAGCGATGCGGAATACTGAGCTTGGAGAAGTTCGTGCGCACGATTTAGATCATTGTACTTTTTGACCATGTCATCTGTCTGGGTGGCAGGTGCGAGAGAGGTGTGATGTTGCTGAAGAAATTGAAGTACCAAGCTGGCCAAATGGTCGTGGACCTTGATGCGCTGATTGAAGTCATCGATGTTGAGACCCAGCGTGTTGGCAAGGTCCTTTTCCAGGGTGAGCAGGTTGAGTGACTGTGATCTTCGTAGTAGTTTGGAACAGGTACTCCAAAGTAAGGCCTCGGTGCGAGTGCGAAAGCCTTCCCACGTCACGAATCTGCCGTGAGCAAACGGCCTGAGTAGCCAGTTGGTGAGGCCCCCGTGGATAACCTGAACCAGGCGTACGTCCCTAATATCCATGCCTGACATGTCGCGAAGGTTGCCATGCGGAGTGTTGGCAACAGTCATGGGCAGGCTGAAGTTGTAGAGCTGATTGACATCAAACATGCCATCTCCAGGTGTCCAGTCAGGCGAGGGTGTAAGCCAGGCTTTCTGAGGACGAACCGGTAGAGCCGCAGGAGGTCCAGGTGGCGGTGTAGGTTGGGAAGTAGTGACCGGTGGTGGCATCACGGGTGGCATGAACTTGGTTGGCGTGGGGTCTGGAGGGATCGGCATCATGTAGTTGATCGCTGGGTGTTGGAATTGCTGTGTGGGATTGTGAGTCGATTGAAAGTTGGTAGGTATCATCGGAAAGTTGTTGGCAGCGTTGTAGCCGGAATTGTGTTGCCATGAAACCAGGTTGTTCCAATCCATGTTCTCCGAGACCTGGCTGTCATTGTGTTCACGTCGGCGTGCTTTGCGAGCTTGAGGGGAAGGACTCCGATCACGTCTGCGCCGAGTCCTAGATCTATCTCGATCTTCACGTCGAGACATGATGGCACAACAACTGCAACACCGCAACTCAACACTCTTGAGAGGAACAAGTCCGATAAATGCAAGTCCATGCAAGTTCAAGCCAGCAGCCAACGGTAGACCGAGTGAGACGTCGCTATGATCTGACGGCTTTCTTCCCTTTAGTGAAACCTCGTTCCTGGTTAAATGTGAAATTCCGCTGTTCTATGATAAGCACGTTGAGGTCAAATTTTCCGACAGAGCCGGCCCGGGGTCACACAATGGGTACACCCGAGGATTCCCCACGAATGGGGTGTACACACTTGAACTCCAGATGGAGAGTGCTAATCTTTCGAGTACAACTGATGAGTCTCGAGTACAACTGATGAGTCTCGAGTACAACTGATGAGTCTCGAGTGGGTGTAGGTTTGGCTTGCAGTCACTTGGTTTCCGTCTAGCAGCGAAAACGTTACAAATTCAACATGAAGCACACACAGCGAGAGAAACAGCGGGCCAAAAGGACTTTGAATCACGCGAGTTGCGCAGGTACGCTGGGATGATCAGTCCCAGTATCACCACCGATGGCAAGTGTCTTCGTTGGCAGGAGACTTGCCATGGTGCTCCTGCCCCCTGTTGCAACGGAAAAAGGTTTTGGTGGCAGGGTTTTCTGCCACTCCGCACACACACGCACACACACACACACTCACTCACACACACACACACACACACACACACACACACACACACACACACACACGCGCGCACACCGTCACACACATAGGGGTTCTTTTAGGGGAAATAGATGGGTTTCCCTGGTAGATGAGAAAAAACCACCAGGTAAACCAGGAACCGCCCTCTATCTTTCTAGCAAAACAACCAAAAAAAGGACACCTATGGTCACACACACACACACGCGCGGAGCCAGCGACGGCTTCTTCCAGGAAGCTTCTTCAGCAGCTCCCGGGTGGTTCGCGCGATGCGGATGGACTCCCGGCTGTACTGCTCTGCGGTGATGGCCTCGTTCTCCTCTCTAAAATCCCAGCGGATCTCATGTGAGTCACAATCAAAGCCTGGCAAACCTGCAGCTTTCGAAGCGCGGTTTGGGGGTTTGGAGGAAAAAAAGACCCCAAAACGTGGTGTTTGCCATGGAAACCAGTTGAGCCACAATCAAAACCGATCGGTACAAAAATGGTGAACCCAGAACTATTCTTCAAGAATTCGAAAGGCGGATATCTGCAACTATTTCCGGCTGGGACTGCCCCTTACTAACCTTCATGTACCCCAGGTTTTGAGCACGTGGCTCATGTGACTCTCTTGCGGCAGCGGTTTCGCTTCCTCCATTTGCTGAAGCCCTTGGAAAAAGGGAAAAACTGTCCGGTAGTGATAGATTCCCTTTAAAACCAACAAGGGAGAATAAACAAGTACGATTCAGCAAATGTAAAGCTTTGATGAATGGTGGGCAATGTTGAGCTGGGCTAAGAAACCTCTGTTCATTAATGTGGGGGTGTGCCTGGTTTTTGGTGGGGATTCATCACTTTCGGTGTGGCACACCCCGATATTGAAAAACAGGGACGCAATAATCCGGGGTAAACATCAAATCTAAGGGTTTTTGTATTACACCCTGCGAATACACCCACTGGGTATTGACCCCATTTAGGCACATTTCCGGATAAAACCGTGTTATTTTGAACCATTCTGGGTCATTTCCCAAGGGTGTTTTCCCAGGGTGTAATACAACAATCCTCAGATTAAAAACGTTGAAAAAGGAGGCAGCTGAAAGTTAATGGTCCAGGAGATGGAATCCCTTGGGAGCGCTGTCTCCGGGTGCCTCCCTTCTCGTGTCCCAAAACCCCGGATTTGTTGATTCCCTACTCAGAACCAACAGGTTCTCTTCCTGTTTGTTCACAACTAGTGGCACTCATACGAAAGGTAAAAAACCGAACTGGTATTTTTGGAAGAAGTTGGACAACTGGAGAACCCATTTCCAGGGTTCCATTTGTTCCGCGTAAACGCAGGGTTTAAGTTTACCTTGCGGTCGAAAAGAACAGAGAGGGAATCGCTGGACTACGATGCTTGTCAACACCGGCCTTCACAAGGACTAAGACTTTAGAGGCAGATTTTCGAGTATCCCATCAGAGCCAACTCATTCCAATGGAAAGTGGACGAGGCGACTGGGATGTCTCGTGTCCTCAAATCCAGAGGACTCTTGAGAGTTGTGCCAAGGACACGCAAACTGGACCAGGAACAAGCAAACGCCCCCTAAGCCTTACCCAAAACGTGCGCCAGCAGTCCTTGGCTGCTTTCATGGTGATGTCCACCTTGGCTCTCTCCCTCTTTCCTTCTCTCCCCTTCTCTCTGCCCTTCCCTCTCTCCCTCGCCCTTTCCCTCTCCCTCTCTTGTTGCTTCCTAATCCAGAATCCTGTGGCTGTTTCCAGGTTCAGCCCTTGTTCTTGGGGGCCTTACATGGGAGGAGCTTGGAGCGCTCCATGGTGGCGGTGCGGGCTTTGCTGGCAACCTCCTCTGGCAGGATCTTCGCAAGTGGCTGCGGCTGAGGAGGCGGCTTTGCTGGCAACCTGCTTAGCTGGGGCCTCTGGGGCTGGGGCAGGATCTTCGCAAGTGGCGGCTGAGGGGGCTTTGCTGGCATAGATTTAGGGTTGAGTTTTAGGGGTCAGGTTTAGGGTGTAGGTTAAGGGTTTAGGTTTAGGGTAGGTTTAAAGGTTTAGGGTGTAGCCTTAGGGTTTAGGTTTAGGGTAGGTAATATTTGGGAGTTGGCTTAGGGTTTGGGTTAAAGGTTTTGGTTTAGGGTGTAGATTTAGGTTTGGTTCCGGCTGGCGGTTTCGGGTCTTCGGTTTAGGTTTAGGTCTAGGGTTCAGGTTTAGGGCTCAGGTTTAGCGTGTAGGTGTAGGATCTCAATTTCGTGCCCCTCTCAAGCCAGCTGCTAGATGTCTTCGAAGCTCTCAAGTATTGGCTGGCTGTGTCCGAACAGCGCAAAACGCGGCCACCGTCTGTGCCTTTCGACGAGCAGAGCTGCGCTTGTCTGTGTGAGCCTAATTCCAGCACATGGTGACGGAGACGGCAAGTGCTTCAGGGGGCTTCGGTCTTTAGTTTCGGGCGTCGGGCGTTGCTTTGGCCGCAGGCAACCCTCAGGGGCTGGCCATGAATTTAGAAGTGGCAACACCAAAACAGGTATTGGCAAGTCGAAGACCACTGAGCTTCCCACTTCCCACCAAAAAGGCCCCGCTGGACTGTTGGCTCTGTTCCAGGCGGAGGCCGGGCTATTAAAGCAGACCCAACATTAATTGGTGCGCGCGCGAAAACCCAAAACTTCCGGATGTGCTGCCGAAGGGCGTACACCGCCAGAATCACGTTGAAGATCCCCATGGTGACCAACATGTAACCTTGCGCCAAGGCAAAGTCCAACCTTCACTTGTATGGCTATGGGTCAAACATAGGTACCCAAAAACGAGAAGCCTGGACCAAAACCTGCAGTCCATTTCCTGGTGGTTTAATTTTGACCCATAATTACCCACTTGACACGTTTGAATCAACGTCTCCCGTCTTCCACGGAGAGGTCAGCGCCATGGCCAAATTTTGACCCATACCCCGGCCTGACAACAACTCAGGGAGCCTTGATCAGGAGGCCAGATGCATCCTTCCCCCCAGGCCCCCCAAAAAAACTCGTACGGGGTCTTGCAAGAAGTCTGCGTTCAGGGCGCACGTTTTACGCCTCCTTTTTCGGCGAAAAGAACTTCAGCTCCTACCGTAGGTCTCCTTCAGTTTCGTTATATGGCCATGGGTCAAAATCCAAATTGTGCCCCCAGTGCCATTGGTTGTGACCCACAGCCATATGCCAACGCAGCTGGTGCTAAAAGGGGACATCAAAATCGGCCCAGCGGCCATGGGCAACAAAGGTCCTCCTTTGTGGGTGGGTTGAGTCGAGTTTAAAAGGGAACCCTTCCCAAACGAATCCATTGTGGGCAACTAGGAAAAGTTGAACTCGTTTGCTCAAACGGGTCACCGCGCCCGGATGTCTCAGTCCCAACCACTTCACGGGTTTACGGTTGAGATTGGTTATTTGGGTGGCAACGTTGGTGGCACGGAATTTCAATCAGGCAACAGATTCCCTCTCTCCCAACAGCAGCAAGAACTACCAGAGCGTAAGCCATTGAAGCCGCGAGCGAGCGGAGGGAGGGAGGGAGGGAGGGGTGCACATCAAGGGCGACCCCTGGTTTGAAACCTTTCCTCTTGGCTTCCCTCTTTATCCCATATCTGGGGTACTCCAAAACAAATATGTCCGGATTCTGTGTCATACTTGGCCCATCCTATACAACTCGTTTTTGGCTTCCCGGGAAAAAATGCTCACCACCCATCGCCGCAGAACATCCCCCCCGGCTCTGAGGACACCTGAACGGAAAACCTGAGTCATCAAAACCCCGTTTTTGTGGGTCGTGGGGGTTTGGCGTTGGCGTGGCAAATACGTCCTGCGCAGAGAAGGATGCAAGGGATTTGGAGTCACTCAGATTCTCAGAAATTCCTGCAGAGAAAGGTCTGGCGAGGACACCCAACAGGTAGAACATGGCCCACCCCGGTTTTGTTTAACGTTCGGCCGGCTTGGCGCATAAAAAGGTGGCTTTCATTCTTGCATGTCAACTTTGCAAACGCATAAGGGGATGTGCCCCTCCCCACCCCCCCACCCCCGCACCCACCAAAAAAAAAAGTTGACTTGAGCTTCAGAGGTTGCATCTTTATGTCTGAACCCACATGGTTTGCTCTAAGGGAAACAAACAAAAGGTGTTGCTTCACTGGGTGCAAAGTAGAAGTTGCCCGCCTTCTGGCTTCCCTTTGGGTAAATCAAAAATTGTGGTTGCTCTGTTAATCACCCAGTTCAAACTGTAGTGCTTTCCGGGGGGCAATCGCACCCTCCAAGGGTTTCCCGAAATTGTGGAACCCCCTTCTGGTTGGCACTTGAAGCCAAAACAAAAAAACGGTGCTCAGCAGGGAATGTGGGACTGAACTGAGGGGTCTCCTGAACGGAAACCACCGATTGCATGTTTTTTGTTTTTTTTTTCTTTTCTCAGGGTCATTCCATTTCTCATTCACCTCACGGGGGCCAAATAAGCCCTTATTACGCCCCCTAAGGCCTTATTTGGGGCTTATTGGGGCTCCCTCCCCATGATCACCTGCATCTCTCGCCCCGATCGCAAGTTGGAGACCAATTCCTGTTTTGAGAACCCCCCCCCCCATGGACACTTGCAGTCTACTTTGCAGGCTCAAACCTGAAAAACAACTATACCCCAAATGAAGGAGCTTGCAAAATCATTGCAAAATAGACCCCCAAGTGTCCAACATCCCCACCCACCCACCCACCCCACCCCCCATCCCGCCGTCCCCCCCTCCCCCCGCTTTTTGGACTTTTTAGCTGGGCACTGGCCACAAAGGAAAGCACGAAGAGCACCCCGAACTCTTCGGCCAGAATGGAAGTGATGGATTGCCCTGGCGCTCGTGGCGCTCGTGTGCTCGTGAGCCGAGCGCTTGCTTTGGGGAAAAAACGACTCGAACCGAAGAGCCACCACCTTCTCGACTCCTGGCCTTGCGTCGCAAAGGACATTCTGGCAGCGGTGCCTTTGGTTGATCTGTGTGAATCATAATATTTCACCAACCTGAAATACGGTGGTTGGGGGGCTATTCCCCACATAAACCACAATTTGGGGTGAGGTCGTGTGAGGTTGTTATAACTCACCCAGACCTTCTCCCGCGCAACCCAGTTTTATCTGAGGTTTGACCTTCCAGGACAGAGGGGGAGGGTTGATGAATGCGAGAATTTCATTGGCTGTCCTCAAATCCCAGCTTCACTTGTAGCGGGTTTTAGTGGAAACCCAGCCACTAAACCAGCGAACAAACCAACAAAAACCGAAGGAACCGGCGAACTGGGAACCGCCAAGAAATTCGGGGCTCCTCAACCCAAACTCACCCGGTTGTTTGATGTGCCCGCCTTTGGACCGAAGAACTAGATCGAACCCGAACTGCACTGAGAAGGTGACCGAACCAACCCCAGCCCAAAACCCCCTCAAAATGTCGGGCCCAAGGGGCTCCTGGGCAATCTTTGGCCTGCCCAAAAGGTGAAACTCGAACCCAAGGATTCCACGCGGGCAAACAACTTGCTTCTTGGCAGCCCGCACCCCCAATTAAAAGTAAAGAGAGACCAAAAACCAAAAACAAGAGACCTGCCATGAGGAAGTTGGTGCAAATCTCTCTGTGAGCTCCCCCTTCCCGTCTCCCACCCTCACCCCTTTTGCCAAACCCACCTGGAATCGACCCATTTGACACTCCCACCGCTCTGCCAATTCTTGCACCCTCCTGAGTGGTCCACACACTCCCCGGTGAAGCACCGGAAGGCTGTAAACATCGCCTGGGCTGATTTCCAGGGGAGCAAAAGGGGAACATAGCGCCACCTTTCTTTTGCTCTTCGCTTATTTATGGGTTTCCCAAATCCAAAGATTAAAATCCGTTAGTTGAACCAGCAGAGCCAAACCGGGGCCCCAAACAAAAAGTGGAAAACGCTGGCTTCGACTGGGCGGCGCTGGGGATGTTGTCGAAGTACCGCTGCAGCCCTACCTCCACTGTGCGCTCGCTGGCGCCTGACAGATCCATGGACCCAGCAAAATCCGAGCGCGAGAGATCGCTTGCCCCCTTTAAAGCGCAGACTTGCGATCAGTGCGATAGGTAGGGAATGAGACCTGGAATGAACCTCGGCTTTGGTCCGCTTAAAGGAAGCCACAATCATGTAGATGCACGTTCTCATTGACGCATGCATTGATATACACAGTTGTACTGATATATGAACCCATCTGGATTTTTTGGAAGGAACCATTGCCCCCATGGAGCCAGTGTTATCTCATCGGCGACCGGTGAGGTCTGGAAGGGCCCGTGAACGAGGGGCTTCCACCCATGGGAATCCCCTGACCAAGGCTCCGGACAAGATCCGGCTCTTGGGTGGGGGGGGGGTTGGCCTGACAAGCATAGGACATCTGCGTGAAGGTGTTGGTTCCATGGACCTAGTTTGTTTTTGCTTGGAGGACTTTTGGGGCGGGGGAAGGTCCATGCAGGGGATAAGCCTTTGACAGGTGGATCATTGGTTTTTTGCTTCAAGAGCTTCTGGGGACTTGCGGGGTATTGGGAAGGTCCATCCTTGGATCAGGGGAGCCCTTGACATCTTGACCCTGGAATTCCTGTAGACCACACCGGGCAAAAGGGGGGGGAGTGACCAATCTCTACTTGCTGCTCAGCGGGGAGTGAGAAATGGAATGACCCTTATAAACCATCCCTTGCTTGGCTTCATTGACACTATATATATATATATATGTGCTACATGTATATATATATATATAATATATATATATATGGATTGAAATTTGATCTAAACATATGTCATCTATATCTGTTGTGCAGAAACCATGGAAGGCCCCTCACTGAGCCTTCCAAAGCAGCGAGTCGATGCAATGAACCCCCCCGCTCGTTAGTCCCACCCCTAACGCCCAACTTGTCCAATTGATGCTGCCCCTGTAGACAGGTCAGCTTAGATTCTGGTCCTTACTTCGTGAATTGAACATGTAATCAGAGGTCAATGGAGATCCGAGCAGCTTCATATGTTTCGGTCTATTTTAGTAAGACATCCTCAGCACTACTGACTCTAAATGGTGGTTAAAAGGAATTCCCTTTGGAGCCCAGACTTATTTTTGAGAACGCCCGCAAAATCTGAGCCACTTTGCGGTTGAAAGCGGCTTCCCCACTTTGGCCCCAGTATCTTGGGGCTTTCAGAACCGCACCGCGTCATCGCCTATAGACATAGTGGCGAAGCCCGAGAGCACATAGAGGACTGCGAAGAGCAGCGTGAAGGCTAGGGCCAGTGTTCGGATGCCAGCGATCCTTGCCGCCCGCATGGCCGGCGTGCTTCCTCATTTGACGGCCCCTTGGATTCTGCTGGTTTTCTGAAAAGAAAGATCCCTGGAAAGAATGGGGAAGTGTCCCAGAGACAAATGGGTGCAAATAACCCTTCCAGCCAGCGCTTGTTCTCAAAAACATCCCACAGGGGACTTTTTTTGGTGTGGTTACGCATGTTGTAGTCTTCGGTTTCATTTACCAAGGTTCGACCCACAGCCATATGAATCTATGACCCCAAGTGTCATTTTGCAAAACTCGGTGGATTCCACCTAATGCAAAGAAACCAAACTGAAATCAGTCGGAACAACATTTTTCAACCAAGACCCAAAACACTTTAAAGGGCACCTATGCAACTTCCCTTCATCAACCGCACGCTTAGCACACGCTGTCGAATGCCAAAACTTGTGGTCCCCAAATCTGCCACACAAGTCAGACAGTTTCTTGGCCCTTGGTAGGAGGAAACCGCGTGAAATCGGTGATAGAAGTTCAAGGGTCCAACGGTGATCAAATACATTCTTTTTAAGCACAATTCACATGGGTATGGGTCAAAATGAATCCACCAAAGACCGCAGGTTTTAGTCCTTGTTTCCATTTACCAGGGTTCCATTTTGGGGGACCCATTTTTGACCCACAGCCATATCTGTTTCCTTCCGGGTAAGAGGAACTTAGACTTTTGCCAGCACCTTGACACATCTACCCAACTGGAACGGAGGCTTTTCGGGTCCCCCGCAGGAAAGCAGAGTCCACCTTCGGATCGTCAGCTTCCATAGGCTGAGGGGCCAGCCCTTGACCATCAGGCGCAGATCCCGCATGAACTTCAGCCGGAAGACCTTCACGATCCTCTGCGTTTTGGATGCGAGCCGGTAAGTCCGAACGCTGAAACTCGGTGGCGAAATCTGCGAAGCCCGGCTAAAAGTGAATAACTGTTAGTGGTTTAATTCGGAAAACCCAGGAGTTGGCAAAAAGTCAAAGTCCTAACATCCAAGCAAAATGCAACAAAGGTAAAATGGGTCTCTACAGGTGCTAAAGAAGAGTGGGACTGGCAACCGTCCTCACTTGCCTGAAAGCCCCGCAAAACAACAAAAGGTTCACAGTTTACCTTTCGACTCGGGGGTGGCGGACCAAGAATCCCAAATCAAATCCGGGTAAGCAGACCCAAGGACTACACGTCAGCTGCCACCATCCCTCGCACTCGAGGCTTGGCTGACTGCAGGGATTGTCGACAGAGCACTAAGCCGACATACCTGCCACCCGCGGTGGGTTTGCCAAGCCGGAAGCTCAAAGAGTCCTCCTTTGAACCAAACTCCATGTCCACCGCTTCTTTGTGACACAAAACGGTGCGCAACATGCAGCCGGCGGTCCTGGCTAGCCGGATCAAGCGGCAGAAGCGCAGCAAAGACGTGCCGAACCTCGGCAAAAAGTGCAAGCAGAAGAAAAAAGAAGAAACAAAAACGCAGGCGTATCTCTTTCCCTTTTACTGGTCAGCCAACAAAAACAACGCGCCCTTCGGGGCCTGCGCCCGGATTTGGAAAGCAAGCCACTGGCAAGCAACCGATTTTGAGGACGCTGACTTTGCCTCCCAAACTGGGGGGTGGGGAGCCGTTAGCTTATAGAGCAAAACCAGGACATTTCTGAGAAAAAAGCCGCTAGCTTATAGCGCAAAACCAGCACATTTCCCGGGGAAGCCCCTTCTGGTTTACTGACCCTGGATGAATAGGCCCATCCCAGAAATCGCGGAGTGTGCCCCTCCACAAGTGATGAAATGTGATGCCTCCCCACTAAAAGGAGACGCCATTCATTTAACCCCGGCTTAAGGCAAGTCACAGGGAAACCTGCCGTTCTCACCACCCCTGCGCGGAAATGCCTCCAGTGGTTCAAACGCACCTTGGCGGCCCACAAAAAAAGGACCATCCTTTCACTCCCTGGGCTTGGACGAAGCCCGGGCTCCCGGCATGTCTGAGCTTTCTTGAGTCACCTCGGCTGCACGCTTCTGGCACGGCTGACCAACACCAAGACCTCTTCAGTGACTTTTGCTGAGGGGAATGCATGGGCACAGAGGCTGTGGGTCAAAAATGGGTCCCCCAAAATGGAACCCTTGGTAAATGGAAACAAAGACTAACACCGCGTAACCCCAGCTCTTTAATTTTGAGCCACACCCATATTGCTTGAGATGACCGGCGTGTTTATGCTTCCAACGTCCCCTCAATGCGTCTGAGCCATCGCCGAAGCATTGCCGAATCCCTTGGCCCCTGGCAAATTCCATGGACGTTTATTGTTTTGTTTTTTGTTTTTAACCGCTGAAGCAATCGAACGCAAGCCTTCACCCGCAATCGAACGTACGACATTCTGCCTGCGGGCTGTCTGCAGTCAATCCATCTACCCTCACCTCGAGAGTTGAGAGTAGGGCCAACCACCTGTTACCACCTCAACTCTTTTACATGTCCACATGTGGCTGTGGGTCAAAACCGATGGTAGTAGGTGCACCACCCATGTTTGTCTATTTTAGTGGGGATGGGGATGTTCACTGGGGGTACGGGCCATACACATGTGGCAAAAAGATGCGCGAGGGCCCATGACAACGTGTTGTTGAATGCAAAATTCCCATGTTGCCGGCATGTCACCATACGGATGGAGGCTTTGACTTGCTGGTGCCAGTAGGGAATGAGAAATGGAATGACCCCCTAAAACCCATCCATCCGATGTGGTTTCCTTTATTCGGGAATCTCCGGGTGCATTCCATTTCTCACTCCCCCGCCTATCTGTTGAGAGCCCCAAGCGGCCCCAAGCACTTCCCAAGTTCGGCCAGGGCTCCATTTGAATCACGAAGTCCGTGACGCCCGTGCTGGCCAGAAACACATCGAACCAGTTCCAGACCCGCTCCTCGCCGCACCAGTAGGCGCGGCAGCGCAGCAAATGCCTGGACACGCAAGAAGGAAGGACACAGACGTCCAGGCCAAACAAATGCCGAAAATGCCGACCAGGGCCAACATCTTTGCAAAAGACTGCAAGGGGTGTTAGGGTCAACAAATGGTTTGCCGGAAGACTAAGAGAAGAAACCCTATATAAGAAAACGCGCAGCACCCGTGGTTAACGCAGGTTCCAAAGTGGACTCCGTCAAACACAGGTGCCACGTGAACGTGATCATTCACACGTCTGCTATGGTGGGTTCAGTCAATAGTTGGAAGCTGCCCTACTGCGGATGGACGAAATCCTGCACCGTTTCCCATGGTTTCCAAGTGGTGCGAAATGGACTTCGTCCGTCCACAGTAGGTCTTGCTGCCTGCAAGCCAAAGAGCTCAGAAAATGCGGCCAGGTGCATGTGTGTGTGTGTGTGCGCGAAATAATCGCTGGTGTCCGTGATACATTTTTTACTTGATCACTGTCTAAATCCACATGGGGATTCCTTGGACCATTCACAAGGGATACCTGAACACCAACAGCTTTCCGCAGCGATCAGGGAAGCGCAACATCCCAGCCTCACTCCCATCAAATCATGGGGAAAGGTTGTACAATCCGCAACCGTGAGTCCACAACTGTCGAGGCTCACCAAAATCCCAGACGCTTGTGGCTCGAATTTCCGCCGCCAGGGGATCGCAGGTTCTAGCCCATGCTTACATTTACCGGGTTCCAATTTGGATGCCTAAGCCAGCTGTTGAGACACGGTGCATACGCAGCACGATCTCTAGGATGAGGATGGCGGCAAACGACCTGAGATCGAGCGGTCCATGTACAAACCCAGTTTTGCGGGTGGCCGCAAGAAACCCATTTTGGGGTTCAACCGGGTGCTACTGAGGAACTGGGTAGAAGGAAGCCTGGCCGAGCGATCATGTTTGGGAAGTGAGGAAGAAGCAAAAGGATTTGCATGTGCAAATACCACCTTCAAAGCGGTTCCCACATCTCAGGGCTACACTAAAAAGGCCTGGGTTCGTCGACGGCCTTGTTACCTAGGAGAGCCATTTTTGGTTTTGTAAACCCACAACTGCTACTCTTTTGGATAGGGTCGACCCCGGATTTAAGTAGGACCTGGTGGAGGGACGTGTTCCCTCACAGTGATCCGCATCCCTTCTTGAATGCGACCCCCGATGAACATCGACCCATTACATACAGGATTCACTCCTCATAACACATAGTCAGTTGGTACCCAGCTCCAGGAGTTCTTATACTATCCACCCAAGCATCGGTCCACTTGGTCTGAAAAAGGCTGCATGGTTCAAATGGCCAGATTATGCTTTAAGAATCTCCCCTAAAGGAAGATCTCCCAAAGCGAACAACCTGAAAGGGACCCCGTGGAAAACCATTGGCCAACAGGGACCGTTTGAGGTTCAACGTGGGCATGCCCTTGTGAGGTTTGATTGAAGGAAAAGCAAGGACAATCACCGTTTGTGGGGTCCCCTTATTTTGACATGTGGATGTTTGAAACGGTGGGTTGTCCCTTTGCCAAAAGGGAGTACCAAAAAACCATGACCCCACATCCCCATGTGAGTCACAATCAAAACCTGGTACTTAAAGTAGCTACCCAAACCAATGTAAAGAACGGCAAAGCCGGCCACCAAATTCTCGTTGGGGTTGTCCCTTACTAAGAATTAACTTACCCGGGTTTCGATTATCTGGGCTGGCCGTTTTCAGATCCTCTCCTAAAGTTTGGTGGGTTAAATGGAAACTATCATTAAACCCGCAAAGCTTAGAAAGCCAAGAAACCGGACGCCTTAGAACAACCTGTGTCATGGCTCATGTGTGTTTTTGGGGACATCCCGAGTCTGCATCGGAAAAAAGAAAAGCAAACAAGCCCGCTCCGCTCGAGCCAAGCAACAGCTCGAACCATACCCAGCCGGACCAGTCTTCGAAGAGCGGGTCCGTCTGGAATCCGATCCTGGACCAATCCCGGTATCCATTTCCATGCTTTCCAGGAATCCGAACCTTCTCAGGAAACCATCCGAAAACCCAGGCGAAACGGAGCCGGCTTTCCTGAAAAGAACGATGGGTGGAAAGAAAGGACAAGGAGTCAGCCCCTAGAGCTATTGTTCACTCCAAAACTAGTGATTCCGTTTACCTGTGGCAACCAAGTCGGAAACACAGCAGGGCTCAAGGATTGGGGATGTTGAACCTGTGTCTTGATTGCTTGCAATTAGGAAGCCACAAGAAGTAGAAATATGTCTCAAAGTCTCAGTTGCGGAGAAATCTGGCGTTGGACAAGGAAGCCCCGGGGTGCTGGAACATGCGCCAGCAGGGGACTAGAACCTATTGACGGGCTCTATATATATATATGCATATATCTATATATATATATATTACATCTGCCTACAAACTTGGCAAGCGATTTCGGGCTCATGTCCCAAACACACACATTGACCTAGGCGGCTCAGTCTGATCTGCAAGGCTTTCGAGACCGAAAGGGTGAATAGGCGGGTTCATTCTGAACCGCTGGCAAAGACTCATGATGCCGTTGCAAAGGATCAGCAAACCCACAAAGGGCTCGATGTACCTGCGCAAAAGCGAGGGCGACGGGGCAAAACCTGAAACTTGAGTGGGTGCAAGGTGGGGTGTCCCAGCACGGTGAGCTTGTCTAGCAATTTAACCAAGGGGAAATCAAATCCTCTGGGGAGGGCCTTCGACAGAACAAGTTCAGGGCACCAAATGGCACGTTGGGCCTCAGGTTTGGTCTCAGCAAGCCATTTTAGGGTTCCCCGATTTTCGACCCACAGCCAACTGTCTCCATCAGCCGAGGAGAAGTAATTCGGTCGTCCGGCGGTGAGCTTGGAGCTGAATTCTGGGGTTTGACGGCAATCCTGTCTGTAGCTTCTTGTAGCTTTCTGTAGCTTGTTTAGCTTTCTAGAGTTTCCCACGGGAATTTGTTAGCTCCTTCATTTTGGGCCAAACACTGACCAAGCGGGCTGTTACAAAGCGGTGTGTTTGGTATTTTACTGACTTATCCGCCGCCGAAACGGTGACTTCTGCACATCGTGACTGCCCAAGCACGAAGCCTTCACGGAGCCTCGGTTGCTTTCTGCTCCCCTGCTAAAAGTTGAGCTCTTAGTGGTTTAATTCAGAAAACCCAATAGTTGGCAAAAGTTAAAGTCCTGACATCGAAACAAAATGCGCCAAGGGGGCGACGTATTGCATCCTTGCCAGGTCGCTAGTTGCTTTTTTTTCGCGAAGAAAAAGAGGTTGGATCCTTCGAGGACCTGCGGGGATGATCCGCTGGCCTTTTTTGCCCCAGTCCCAGAGGGCCACACCAGACAAACAAGAGCTAAGGATTAGGTTTGGTGCGAGCATCTGTTTGGGGAGGTGCCACCCCAGGAGAAGAGGGAACAATAGGAAGCGGCATATTTATTTCTGGGCTGCCCTCAGATCCCCCGCTAAAGGCTCGACTTTTAGTGGGTTAAATGGAAACTACCACTAAACATTAAAAGGCAAAAAAGCTAAGGGGATGGCTGGGAGCCACCAAGATTTGAATCACCTTTTTGGGAACCCCCGCCCCCTCTTTGAGGGCCCGATTGTAGAGATGGTACGTGTCAAAGGTTGCGACCACGGAGAAGGTGTAAGGCATGCTTGTGATTCAAAACTCGACTTTCGCCCTTTGGGGGGGAGTCCTCTTCTGTACACATGTGGCAGTGGGTCAAAAATAGGTACCCAAAATAGAACCCTGGTAAAAGGACACATGGACTGCGGTTTTTTTCTGGTGGTTCAATTTTGACCCACAGCCATGCTTTGATTTGCGGCTCCTTTCACGTGTCCTTTCCTCCGTCCTTTCCTCTTCCTGCGTCCTGTCCTCTGTCCAAAGCTTGTTCACCCAGTTGCATACGCAGCCTCCGAGTGGGACACATAACACAAACAAATATACACACAAACAGAAACAATACAGACAAAGAGGCAGGCAGGCAGGCAGGCAGGCAGGCAGACAGGCAGGCAAACAGGCAGGCGGGCAATCTGACAGACTGACGGACACACAAACAGGCGACTGACAGACCGACAGACTGACGGACACGCAGGCAAGCAAACTGAAAGAAAGCAGCAAGCAAGCAAGCAAGCAAGCAAGCAAGCAAGCAAGCAAGCAAGCAAGCAAGCAAGCAAGCAAGCAAGCAAGCAAGCAAGCAAGCAAGCAAGCAAGCAAGCAAGCAAGCAAGCAAGCAAGCAAGCAAGCAAGCAAGCAAGCAAGCAAGCAAGCAAGCAAGCAAGCAAGCAAGCAAGCAAGCAAGCAAGCAAGCAAGCAAGCAAGCAAGCAAGCAAGCAAGCAAGCAAGCAAGCAAGCAAGCAAGCAAGCAAGCAAGCAAGCAAGCAAGCAAGCAAGCAAGCAAGCAAGCAAGCAAGCAAGCAAGCAAGCAAGCAAGCAAGCAAGCAAGCAAGCAAGCAAGCAAGCAAGCAAGCAAGCAAGCAAGCAAGCAAGCAAGCAAGCAAGCAAGCAAGCAAGAGAGCAAACTAGCTAGCTATCTAGCTATAGCGTGCTAGCTAGCTAGCTAGAAAACCGTTGCATCTTGCTTTCTCCAACTCCTTCGCCAGCATTCCCTTCCTTTCCTCTTGAAACATCTGCCCAAAAAGTGCCATCTAGGTGGTTGTCTTTTCTCCCTCACATACTCTTTCTGAACGAAATTTCGTATTTGGACAGGAGAACGCCCAAGTAAAGGATCTTTACCATGGTGAGCTCGATTTGGCCCACAATCGGTGAGCTCGTCACATAGTTATGCAGATTTCAACAAGGTCACGCCGCTTCGCGAAAATTCACAAAAAGAAGCAACAAAAAGGAAACATATATATATATATATGTATGTATATGATTATTGTATGTTGTTTCTTTTATAGAAAAAAATGGAACAAGAAAAGAAGAAGAAAAACGCGGCTTTCGCGCCAAAAAGAAAAGGCGGCAGGGGCGACTGGGGCACATCAGGGGGTGCGTGGGCTCTGGAGGCGCTGCCAGGTCGTTGATGCGCACAAAGGTCAGCTCGGCCACGAGGCCTGGGCTCGAAGGACGAGTGACCCCACAAGCTCGACCAGGTTTAGGGCTAGGGTTTAGGGTTGACCTCCGGAAGCTCAGGGAAAAACCGTCCGGGCTGATCAAAGGGGCAAGGAAGGCATCCAATTCCGACCATTGGGAGCCCAGAATCCCTGCAGTTTCTGATACCATCGAATCACCCCAACGATCGGAAACCCGAAGATCTCCCGAAGGGGATCCTCAGGCTCATGTGACTGTGTGCTTGTGAAGGGTACCCTTGAAAAGCCAACAGGACCTCCATTCTGGCGCAATGCGGAGTCCAGGACTCTCGCACCTCGGGTATGGACCCGGCGTAGATCTTGGCACCGGCCGTTGAACGGGGCACAATGCACCCCAGGTCGTCACTCCTCGCTCCTCTCCACCCCCGCCTTTGCCCCTACCAAAACCAAGATGTGTGATTCTTGTCCATATAACCGGAAAAGGCAACATGGTTTCAACAAAGAACAGTCCTCCGAAGCTTGCACAAAGAGCTTTCGACCGAGACTCATAGAATCCTTCCTGACAAGCTCCTACACCAGCTCTGTTCAACAAATAGGGATCCGCATCCTTGAACTGGGTGGCGTTTTTTGGCGTCACTTCAAATCATCCTGGAATCCTGAAAACGACATCAAAAAAACAGGCAAAACCAAAGATGTCCTTTGAAAAAAATTCACGGCCCTGGAAAATGGTTCATGAAACCAATCTAAACCAGTGGAACTCAGCTGATTTCTCTTCCCAATCCAACCTAAAGGAAGAACGATTTGTCCTTCAACGCGCACAAAAACAAAAAACAAAAAAAAACGAAGATATTCCCAATTTGGGGACATCCCCATTTGCCGCTCACCCGAAAAAAAGAAAGAACACGAGGCCCTTCCCAGTTTGGGGGCCATCCCCAAGTTGCGCCTCTCCGCCGCACCGCCGATTGACGAAACCTAACGCTCCACGCGCGCGCCGATCCCGCGATCCCAGGCTCGGGGCTCCGGGCGGTTGGTGTCCCCCGCCAGCAAGATCTCCTTCATGGCCTGGAACTGCGTCAGCAGCCGCGGGCCGAGCCTGCGATCTGCCGCAGAGGAGTCGAGACAAGGCGTGTGATGTGCAAATACACACACCTATACACGTATGTGTGTAGAAAATATATTACATATATATATATATATGTATGGCCAAAAACTTGAGCTCTGGACGACAACCTGAGTATTTAATTCAACGGGGGGTAGCATCTATATATATATATATACTGGTTATTCTGTCTGTCTGAAAATGAGGGAACCCTCAAAATGGCAAGGGGGTCCTTCAATATGGGTCTCTTTGATAAGGGAACCGTCAAAATGGCAACGGGGTCCTTTTTGGCTTCCTGGCAACTAACCCCAAAAAAGGGCGTCAAGAAAAAACACATAGTAAACATACAGAATGAATTTGTGGCTCTTGGAACTCCCAAATTTGGAGAAAAACGGAATCTCCCAGCACGGGGCCTTCATGCGGTGCCGCTCGTTTTACCTCCGATCGGTGTTCGCTCGCGTGTGAAAGGATCCAGAGGTCAGCAAACGCCAGCAAGGGCTGTCGGGTACGTCAGGTAAGTGGTTAGGCCTGGTGATAACCCACTGAACGGAAACTTATAATCGTGGCTGAAGTGGGTTATAACCAGGCATACTAATCACGTACAACGTACCCTGCCTCTTTAGTGGGCCGCTTGGGGAATTTGGCTGGCAGCACGGGGCACGCGGGGCTACTGCTTCCACACATGGGGCCGATTTGGCAAATTGGGCACGCATGACATCAAAACAAACCTGCCTACTACTTGGCAGCGAGCTTCCTGAGCTAGGCAGGTCTGCCTTTAGATATGTTGTTGGCTTTCCGACCCTTGGTATTGTAGCAAAGCATGCTATTTTTCTTAACCCCCCTCCACCCACCCCCCTCCAAAACAAAATATGGACGTGCGCTTCCCAGTTTGCCGGCCAGAGCAGCTTGCAAAACCATGAAGTTGGGCCTGGTTGTGGAAAAATATGCTTGCCGGTGATGCCAAAGTAGGATTCCCATGCCCACACGTTTATCGCTTCAAAGGGGATTCCCTCCGCATCGCGAAAAAAGACGCGAACTAAACCAAACACTTTCCACAACCATGACATTGGGCGCTGCCTAGACAGTTGATTGAATAAGTGTGACGGAAAACCCTCTCAAGTAGCTGCCACCAACAGGCTCATCCACTTTTGGTTGAGCACTCGATGCAACTCCAGATCTGGCAAGTCAACCCTATTCCACCCGCTTGGTGACAGCAGCCCATGTCACTCCCTTCGCTGCAGATGAGATTGAATATTGACCATGGCTTCCAATCTGGCAATAGACAAATGCATATTGCCTACCCTATTTACGTGTCAAAAGAAGGGAACCCTCCAAATTTCGTGAGTTTCATGGTTCTTCCCTTCAAAAGAACTCGTAATTCGACACGCAACCCAGCTATGTCTTAATGACCAACCTCGACCAAATGGCGGGAGTCTTATTCAGGACTGCCGCCAAAACTGAGCGAGTCGCAAACTCCGGCTAGAGACGAATGTGGGCCACAAAGCCCCCACCCTCCAAACAGTCCAGTGCGGAAGTTTGAGCGGCATGTCGGCTTTTCTTGAACGGCAACACCCATGATCACCACCCAGAAGAGTTTCTCTAAGGACACCCATCAGCGAATATGGCGAATCATGATACGTCCCAAGACGGCCCCCCAACATGTCACTCTCTCGGCTTCGAGTCATGAGCTCTTGCCACCCTCCGCTGCCTCAAATGGCCCCCGCCCCCACCTAGCCCTTCCTCGCTCCCCACATGGCGGAAGCCTCTTGTGGATCACCGAGGAGGCGTCTTCCGCGAGGAAGAGCTCCATGAGCGCCTGCGCCGGCACCACGTTGAAGGCCTTCCTGTCGTTGACGCGGATGGCTTGGAAGATTCGTCGCTCGCGATGGCATCGAGACCGCGGCTCGAAACCCGGAAAATGGGAGACCCACCAAAAATCCGGAGGCCGGAAAGAAAAAAGCAAACAACGATGAGGGTTGTTTTTTGGTGAAGGGATCGAAACCTGTTTGGAACCCGGTACCGAAAATATACCCAACAAACATCCGGAGGCCGGGAAAAAAGCGACGATGAGGGTCCCTTTGGTGCAAGGGATCGAAACCTGGGTTTGGGGATACTTGTGTCTTGAAAGAACGGGAACCCAGAATGGTTGGCTTCCCTTGGATTCGCCTTAGAACCAGCCAAGCAGGGGGTTGGCCCCCGAAAAACTGGGTGACAAAGGACGGCTGTTGCCCCAATTCAGTCGCCTCCGGATGGCGCGACTGCGGCAGCCATTCCCTATAGTCCGCCGGAGATCCATGCTTGACACCGGTGCCACCAAACAATTCCAAGCAAAGGGAGTGGTTCCCTATGAGTTCGAACTCAAGGTGCAAATTTCACACGTTCGTGGATTTCCGAGCGCAGGCGAGCCCAGACACTCCAAACACGGGAACCTAAGGCACAAGCGTCTGAAAGGGAACCTACTGGAATGGGCGGCCCAACCGGGCAACATACTTCACAGGGGTTTCGGCCCGACTTGTGTTGCCTTGAGTGTGCCCGGGCACAGTGTGCCCATTGCTCAAGATATATATATATATATATATAAATTAACCCCTGGTTGATGAGTAGGCTGGGTGTCCACTGTAGCCGAATTTTGCTTCGGTGCAAACACCCCCCATGAGTTCGTCAAGCACATAGGTGGCCTTTTGGAAAAATAGATGGCCCTGGTAAATAGAATAAATCCCATCTAAACCAGGGCCCTCTATTTAAGCAAACCAACCAAAAAGGACACCTATGCCTCCGCATCGCAGGCCCGCCTCTGAATGAAGGCGTTCACTGCAGCTGCGCTCCTTATGGCCGGCCGTCTAATCTTAACAATGCATAAAACAGATCTGCACCCGTCGAACATATGGCCATGTGGCATAACCCGGTACACCCAGTGAACGTCCCAATCCAATCACTAAAATAGGCTCTAAAATGCGTGGTGGTGCACCTACCCCAAAATGGTACCATTGGTTTTGACCCACAGCCAGAGGGCCATGGGGCAAAACCTATGGCTCCATTTTTGGGGTGGATGAACATCCATTTGACACCTATTTTGATGTTCACCAGGGGTACAGGGTTTTGACCCACAGAAATATGGCGTTCGGTGATGTTTCCTGACTGCACTCACTCCGAGTCATTGAGCGGCCTTCGAGTTTGCCCACATGCAGATGAAGTTAAATATCAACCAAATGCGATTGTCATTTATAATATGCTTGCGGGTTTTGGCGTTTTGGGGTTTTGGAGCACAGTTCCAGTTCCCTCCGAGTTGCTGAAGGGACTTTCGCAGCGAGGTCGGCTTTTGCGGCCACTGCCAGACCGGTGTGCCGAACTTGCTCAAGTCCCGCCTCGGGTCTTGCGATTGGTGCGGACAGCAGCCGGCGGAAGCCCAACAACAACCTGCGATAGGACTTGCGATCGGTGCGATAGGTAGGGAATGAGAAATGGAATGAACCCAGGGATTCCCGAATAAAGGAAACCAGTTGGATGGTGTATATGGGTCATTCCATTTCTCATTCCCTGGATCACCAGCAAGTTTACACCGGGGTTGTCCTCCCCCAAAAAAGAACAACAACATGTTTAGCCACAAATACGATGGCCCGCTGCCGTGGAAAAGGCGTTTAGTATAGTTCCTCGCTTCATGCGGATTCAAGGGTTGGATGTGTGCCAAAATTAAAACCTGTCCGAACGGTGGCAGTCCTTGTGTTGCCGATTTGGAGAATCATCCAAAGTTTCACAGCCAGCTTGAACCCACAAAAAAAACAGACATATGTTTGTTGTTTTCTGGGAGGACAAAGAAAAATTGGGGTGTTTGCTAGTTGCTGTGAGGAATTTGCACGACTCTCCCAAACCAGCAGTACCATTTAACTTTTTGTCAGCTGCTCGTGTCTGGCAACTGAACGAACACTCCGATCCGGCACCATCAAACAAATAATTACCACAAATACACCCCAATCAATCTACAAAACAAAGTCACAATACTGCCAATATTTCTGTCATAGTTTCAGGGATTGCTATTGCAGATCTCCCAAAGTTCCGCCAGACCACAATTCGGGTATTTGCTGTGCAAAACAATCAACGATTGAAACGCTTAATGGAACCCCCCTCAAGGCCAGCCCCTAAGAATGCAAACCCCCCCTTGTAACATCATGCTGGTGCTCGGGGAATGACCTTCCGAATGTTGGTAATCGGGGATGGCTTTTCTCGAAGTCATTCCATTTCTCATTCCCTGCTTCTCGAACCAGAAAGAAAATCATGGCCTTCTAGAACACCTCCGGACACCCAGAGAAAACGGCTGGTTTTTGGAAAGAACGATGGTTGAAAAGAATGGGGAATCAACCCCTAGAATTCACTATTCGAAGGCACCTTCCAAGTAGGAACGAACGGAGCCCGAGCCCGCTCTCAACCAAATCTTGGCAGAAACCCCCAAATCTGGAAAGCGGGGGAAAAGCATGGATGTCTTCTTTTGAGGCTACCCTGTTTCATTTTAACGAAAGGAAAACATTCGCGTGGGCGGTTCCGTCTGTGCGTGTGTGTGTGTGTGTGTGTGTCTGTTTTTACAGACCCCTAAAAGTTCCTTTTGGATTCCCTTTCCCGCCAACAAGACTTGCTGGTGCTCAGCAGGGAATGAGAAATGGAAACCATCCAACTGGTGGTTTCCTTTAAGGGGACCCCTGGGTTCATTCCTTCATTCAAACAAAAAGGCGCACTCATTTGGACATCGATCTAAGCTGCTCGGTGAGATCAAAACTCTTCTGCTCGACCTCCGGGAATTCAAGGTTGATGAACTCCGCCACCGTGTTCACGAAGTCGTTCATGTCCTGGAGACCACTGGAAAACGGGAAAACCACTGGAAACTACTGTGGATGGACAAGGTATCCACAGCGGAATCATCATCCGAGGGTTTCTTGGTGCCAAATAAACACCGGAAAATATCACCCTCAGCCCTTAGTTGGTGCTTTTGCTTGGCGGTTTGGATGTGGGGCTTGGAGTTGAACCCCTGGTTCTTGTAGGCTTGTTTTTGGGAAACCACCAACTACAAACACCAAACTACAAATCCAAACCACCAACTAAGGGTGACCTGATACTACTGGTCGCCTCGCAAAACCTCAGAGGGAAAGGCACTTTGAGAAACCCTAGCCATGTGGATGGACTCAAAATCCTGCACCAGGGTGGTTTCTCAACCAATACGGTCTCTATCCTGCAGTGGCTGGTTTACCACACGAACGAACTTCCATTTGCTTAAGCCTGGAACAACTAAAAACATGTGTCCAGTGATAGATTCCCTTTAAAACCAGCGGAAAAATATCTCCTGGGCTTTCCTCAGATCCCCTGCTGAAAGCTTAACCCACCTGAAAACAACCAAAAAACCTAAGGAACCGGATGGCTGGGAACTGGCTTCCCACCAAGAAACATCTCCGGCTCTTCAGCCGACCGGATGCCGGTCAAAGCCGACCGAAGCGGTCAGTCGAGCCCGAGCTTCGGCCTCCACGGTGAAGCGCGTGAGCCCCAGGGCCGCCACGGCGTCGTGCAGGGACTGGCCGGACACCAGCTTCCTGCTGAGAGATGGCTGGAACTAGGACCCCAGCAAATATATATATATATATATATACTTATATATATATATTGTTTTTTTTGCCTTGTTGGTGGAAAACAAAGGGGACCCCAACAAAGCAAAAACATAGAAAAGGGAACTAATTCTGGGGACGCTGAGACGTTGACTCAACGGCTGAGCTTCCCACGGATTTTTCGGTGGCTGGGAGCGAGCCAAATGATTGGCTGAGTTCCTTTGGCCTCCCTTCAAAACCGGAAGAAACTCCCCAAAGCAACCGATCGATTCCCGGCATCCTTCCCGAGTCGCACCAAGGGCCCGTGGCTCGATGGATATCGCCGAGGGGCGTGGAGGTGATGGCGCCCAGACGCACGCGGAGGCGTTGGGAGACCTTCAAGGCCTCGATGGGGCTCATGCCCTTCCTCAGCAAAGTTGGGCGGGTGGGGGGTAGGTGTGAAGGGTAGGTGTGGGGAGTCGGTGTGGGGGGGGCAGGTGTGG